GCGCCGCCACGTGAGGCCCCCCCGCGGCCGCCCCCTCGGTGGGCGTGGCCCCCGGGCAGGGGGCGCGGCGCGGGGAGGGCTGCAGCCGTCAGGCGGTGGAGCTCACGCCTAAAGACGCTTGCTTTTGTCCGCCGAGAGGTCCTCGCCGCACACGCGGTGTTTCCAAACGCTTTAGCCACAGCTTTGAAATGTTGTTCCAGGCTGCGGAAGCTTTATAAAAGGAAATGAAATATATGTTATTATACTGGGGCAACAGTATTAATGCTCACGGCAGAGGCAGACAAAGAGAGGGCTTTGTACGCTCGCTGCCTGATTGCTGCAGAGTTTTGCTCTGGGCTCATCCTGCGCAGCCTCCAAATTTCTGTGGGTTTGTAGCCCTACGAGTAAAGGCAGAATTTGGCCGCTTTTTTCCCCCTAAGAAAGAAGAAAAATGGGCACTTAATGCCCCTTTTGTTTTTTGGAGAACAAAAGCATGGTGGAAAATGTCATTTCCTGAAGATGTTTGTTCATTCAGAATGTAAGGACTCGCCAGATTTTGATGCTATTTTATTAACACAGATGTAAATTTATGTAATTTCATTTGAAGCCAATTAAGTCGCTCTGAACTGCAAGTGTGGTAGCACAATCCGCACCACTGTCTTTTTAACAGTTCACCTCCATCTTTAATTACAGACTATAGAAAACTGTCAGGTAAACGTATGTTTACGGTTGCATACATTTTAACTTACAACCAGCCACGTACTGTACTTCTTAAGGCGCTGAATCTTGCTGGCATTCAGCCAGGTGTCTAGTACCATGCAGTGCCTGGAGGTTTTATTGACTGGTTTTTACCAAATTCATCACTTATTTGGTGGACTATAAAGAGATGCGTTTGATAGGACCAGCTACGATCTGCAGAAGCCCGAACCTGGAGTGATTTACGCAGGTACAGCTGCATACAGAAAACCAGCAGGAGGGGTGAAGCCCGTATTACATCCAGGATGCGTCCTTGGATTTTGGAAGCCTAATTCCAGGTGCCACTGCTGCCCTGTTCATCCGTTTGCTTTAGACTTTACTTCCATGAATTTCATTATCCTTTTTAAATTAAAAAGTTATAAAATAATTTTAAGGTGAAGTAACAGTAACATAAACAAACATTCTGGACCATTAGAAGCTGGAAATGTTTTTTCTTTTGCATTTAAGTCGGGGAATACAATATTACAAAATCTGTGCATTTCTTAATTACTCATTTCTTTAATGACAATTCAAGTGAGATAATGACACTGGTAATAACAGAATTATGGAGAGGTTATAATTTGTTGTTTAGTAAAAAATACTATTAGCAACATTTACACTAAATAATGGATTAGTGAAATTAACACTGAGAGCCAAATTCAGTCCTGGTATAAACTGATTCAGCTCCACCAGCCTGCCTGGAGGCTGAATTTGGCTCAGTACCTTTGTGAATTATGTGCTTTTTACATAGTACTAACAATTTTGTGCTTTTACATGTGCCATGGTATTTTTCCCTCATTTTGGCCTAGCACCTACTTCCTTCCACCACTATCCATTCCTTTTCGTGTGTGCCTTTTCAGTCCCTTCATGTTCAGTGACAGCTTTGCTTGACTTGTTTTGAAGCAGGATTATGAAATAAAAGAGAAGCAGGTAAAATATTTGAAGCAATCTGAGGGGAGTGCATACCTTCAGGAGTGCTGACTACAGTAAACAACTGTGATTGTAATGTTCATGATAGCAATAATGACCTCAGCACAGGGCATTTCCGAACAAGTACTGGGATTTTGTTTCTAACGTCTGCCCAAAGGTGCCAATTTCTCTGCTTAATATCCTAGAAAGATAAAATATAGGAATGAAGGTGACCTGGGATCCATACGCTGCTCTCTAGAGCAGGAGCTGTCCATACTGCCCAAACTTGGTTCCCTTTTATTAGTCCTTTAATTCCTGAATTACGCAAAAAAGCATCTTCTTGGTCCTTAAGTGTTCTTGCTTTAACAGTCTGTTCCTAATCAGCAAACCATGTACTGAGTTGTAAGCAGGCACTTAAGTCTCACTTGGGAATGTAATAGGATTCAAGCTAGTTCAGAGATGGACAAAAGCTTATGCTGAAATATATTTCTGAACTGCGAACACAGACAAACAGGGTGTCTAACTACAGTACTGGATTGACGCTCTGCCTCAGAAACAGTTTGTTTCTGTGGCTTTGAGTAAGTAACACACAGCCATAATTTAACAAGTGTACATCCAGCTTTTGTCCACATTAAAATATCCTGCTCCAGATCTCCAAAGCATCTGTGGCAAAAATTCATACAAACCACTTCTGGAGAAGGGAGGACAGACGGAAGAGGAGACACAAAGTATGCAAACAAATGCAAACTCTTGGTCCTTAAGTCCATTTGCTACTGCCATCTAGTCCCAAGAAATTATCCTGCTAATCTTCGTCTATCGCTTTGAAATAGGCAATAAGGCAGGGCTATAACCCCCACAAAGTAAAGAAGGGGCCAAACCAGGAAGGCACAGAAAAGTTCCTCAAGCTGGGCATTCTCTTATAATCCAGCTCATTTCTCTTTTCATAACAAACCTTTCCACCTTTGCAACTGGTTTAATTTCCAGCAGCTGCTTTACTGTTCTTGAGTTCCCCTTCTTTGGCAAGCAGGGCTGATAAACCATCTCATAAAGGCCTAAAAAGGTCATGTCTGTACAGTGCTTAGAGCATGCAAAGTGCAATATAAGTGCTAAATGTTCTTATTTTAGAGGTTAATGAATTAAACACCAAGGAATATATGCACTGAGGTAACTATTGCTTAAATACTACAGTCTCTTCTGGTAGAAAAGAATTCAAATAACTCACAGAGCTTCTCTCAATAGGACAGATGAATCCTTAATATATCATTAATATTAAAGTGGTAATACCTCATTTATATTGTCAAACTTTCCACAGCTGCAGAGTACCCTTTTAGTAAAAGCAGAACCTAGAAAGTGAACTGAAGTCCTCTGAGAATCAAAGAACTTTGCATGTTATTCTTCAACACCATCTCAGTGATATTTACAGCACTGGTCTGCTTCCCCCCCATTACATCTGAGAAGCTGGTGTTTCATAAAACAGAAGCAACATATAGTCCAGTTTCAGATTCTGCATTCTGATGGTTGAACAGCTGGAAATATCATCCGCTAGAAAGGGTAAATAGGACCATAATCTGCATGAGCTTTCTGAAAAGTTCAGATTTTATGCCTTAGTTAAATCCATGCTCCATCATTTGGGAGTCTGGGACAATACATTTTATGAAATATTGAATGCACAAGCTCCTATCACAGCACTCATACCTCCAGCTCTGGAGTACAGACTGATTAGCCAGGTGGTCAGAAAAGGATTTCTGCAATACTGTACAAAACATTGCACATACCTTTCCTTTTTCATCCCTATATCAACTTTGGCCACTAATGGGACACAAGATCCGACGGACCAATGATGTGGTTCAACAAACCAAACGCTGTGTTCTTATGCATGCGTGATAGATTTAAGACGTGGCACAAAAAAAAAAAGTCAATAGCACCCTAAACAGTAAAAAAAATACTGCTGTAAAATGCTGATGTAAGTATATACCAGAATTCAGCTGATTTTCAAGTGTTCTTGACAACACACTGAAAATATCTCAACAAGGTATTCCATTTCTGTTAAAAGAGTAACAGCTGTATTAGGTCATGCTTAGTGGTTTCTTCTTGTTTTTTTATTCTAGTGCTCCTGTCAAATATTCCCTTCATCGATGCTCTGCAGCTGAAGTCTTTGGCTAGCATGGGGCCTGGTACTACGCCGTGTGTTCATGTTGCTTCCTGGCAGAGTCCGCACAGGGAACAGAGCTCCTGGTAAAGCCTCCTCCCCAAACAAGCTGATTTTCACATCTGCTTCAATAGCTTTTGCTAAACTGGATGCATAACTGTCCAGAGATTTATGGACTTCTGCTTTTACATGAAGAACAGAATTCTTTGCAGCTTCTGGAATAAAAAAAAAAAAAAACATAGAACATTAGCAGTCACATAGCATGACTATGTGAATCCTTGAAGACTAATATTGGTCCTCTTGTAAAGACATGACCATGCCTGCTGCAAAATAACTATTCTACATGACACCTGTACCAAGAATAACCAGGGTTCCCAAACCATTCTATGAACATGAAGCTTTAGAGTGAACGTAGGTCATGTAGAGAAAGATTATCTTCAATTCAAGCAAAAAAAAAAAAAACCCAAAACAAATAAACAAAACTAAAGAAGCAAAGTGCTGATTTTCTGGATCTGAATCTATGCACATAGTAGTTTATTTGTCTGAATTTGAAGCCAACTGAACTCAAAGGCCAGGTTTCTCCCAACTGCATAGACTACATAGGAATAGGGACAGTGGGAATTGCCTGACATCAGGCAAGATGTCATACAGAAGATCAGAACAAAACTCTCAGTTCTTACTTCCTGTGCCGTACACAGCACTTCAAACCTTACAGGCATTCTCAGTGCACTTGAACTACAATCTCACACTTGCTGATGTGCAGCGTAAAACATGTTATAAAACAGCTCTTAAGTCCAGCAAACTTCAAACTTTTTGCGTTTATGGATCAGCAGTCCCCAAATTCCAAGTGCTTCTTCCAAGTAGTGAGGAAAATCAGCAAAGGCTACTGTCCTTAGGCTTAATTTTGCTCTGCTGGGTTCCATGCTTCCACCCTTCCACCAGAGACACTGTTGAGTTCTGAATACCGGGAGAGGTTGAAGACTGCTGTTGCAGACAGCACAATACTTGTTCCTAGCCTTTTATTTCCTTGGATATACCTAGTCTCCAGTGTTGATGTTGGTGCTTTTATAACATCTATAAATTTCTTTACACACCAGCATGTTGGATAACACTGGTATTCATCCCTAATATAACACTCCAACGAGGCTGCTGAAATCACGTAAAACCTAAGACATTCCTGACAACTACAAGACACACCAAGGAGACTTTGCTAAACACGGAGGAAACAATTGTATTAAGACCTTCCTCCTCCTTTGAATCCCACAACAAATTAGACACCTGCCCCGCCCCCCCATCTACTCACTCAGAAACAAAATGGGAAACTTATGGTAATGTACTAGTTCAAGAAAATAAGCAGCTAATGCTGGGAGAAGGGCAAGAGTGAATTTTACAAAGATGTTTAAAAGAGAAAACTCTCAATAGCAGAGGAAGTCTCTCAATAGCAATAGTATTTCAGAATAATAGAAATCAGACAATTTTTGTTATTATTTGATTCTTACAGGCATTCTCCTCATTTTTGTGCTGTCCGCAATCATTTATTATTCATAAATTCAACTATTCATGATCAAGTCTTCTAGTCCATATTACCCTGTCAGCTCACTTTACCAGATTTTACAATCACAGCGGCACTTTGCTCGTACAGAATCAACAAGTGAGCTGACTGAAAAAGTAAAGTGCATGTGGCTCATCTACTTTCATCTGTGCCTACTGCAAAATACACAAAAAGTAAATGAAACAATGAAAACATACGCAGAACGTTGAAATCTGTAACTTGAAGGATTTTAAGTCTGTGAATGACAAAGTTGAAAGGAGGCAGCAAAGGAAACACTGAGATAATGGAATCAAAGTATGAAGGCAGGAAAATATATTCCTCGAGAAACATAAACAACATAGACTGTAATAGTGGCTAGATGAGTGGAGCTGCAGAGAGGACGCTGCTGTGCAACATAAATGGTGTGTATGCAGGGAATCCCAGCTTCTGGTTCTTGTCCTTGTCTGGTACTACTTGAGAACTGGAAGAAAGATCTGCTCTTACTGTACCTGCCTGAAGGATCAGGTCTCTCAGGGTGAACACACTGGATACATTCTAACACAATTCTGAAGATCCTGGGAGGCTTCCCCAGAGGGCAGCGTAGTTGGTTCCGAGTATTTCCATACTTACCCCTAAACCCACCTTTAATTTGTTCCACTTCATCTTCAAATGTCACTGAACTCCTCCTTCGAGGAGGACAGATGCAGTGCGGGGGATGAGGGCCATCGGAGCTATAATCTTCAAGAAGCATTGCATCTGTTCCTGAAACAAAGCAAGAGTTTTCAAGCAAAACAGAGTAATGCTGGGACACAATAACGAGGTCATCTGAAGAGAGGAGCCAAAATTTAAGTGGTGGCAAAAACTTTCCAGTTTATAAAAATCCTTTCAAAAGATGTCTAAAGCAGGCTTTTGAGGGTAGGTTTCAATTTGAATTAACCACTGCACATAAAAAGAATGAGGTCAGAGTTTTCATTGAAAGGATTTAGAAGTCTTTTCATTAGCTATCTAAAACCTCAAGCAGCTCCAAAATCAGCTGTGGAGCTTATAACGTCTATAGGACGTCAGGCAAAGGTGAAACCTTACCTTCAGTAAATAAAGGGTGAAGTTGAGGGCAACATCCTCCGTCTCCTGATCAAGACAGGGGCTAACGGTGGCCACGTGAGAGGCAGACAACCAAAGCTGCCAAATGTCACACTTGTAATTAGAATTGGATGGAAATCTGAACTGGATAATTTTCTGTTCAATTTATTTTGTCTCTAACAACTTACTTGGGCTTCCTTGAAGTGTACTTTAATGGGGGAAAATCCTCTGTTGGCTGGGAATGATTTTCCTCCACTGAGTCATTTTTTTAGTTTATGAATAATTTTCTTCTTTAATCTCCCTGCACTTTTCTTTGCACTTTTCTAATCTAAAATAGCGTGCACAAGAAAATTCATCTTTGCCATACTTTCACACAAAGGGCAAGACTGCAGCTTAGTCCTCCTTTGTGGTGTTGGTCTCTTCGCTGTAGAAACAGAATATATGTTTCAGGGAGACACCAGGACAATGCTGAGCAAGTACTCTCAGGGAAGCTGCTGCTGCAAGGCACAGCTTGCCCGTGCTTGGTCTGTGACACTTTACTTTCAGTCTATTTACTCCTGTGGTGTGAAAACAGGCCGAGGACAAAGAGCCTTCGCAGGTTTCATAGCTCCTCCAGATGGTGTCTTTCTATCACTCTTCACCCATTTGAATGCTTTTGATTCCCAAATTGATTCTTTCATAAGGGTTCCAGGGCCAATTTTACAGCAAGCAAGAGAAAGACATTGCTGGGGAGGGGATGTGCCTTTAGACAACATATTGCTCCATGTCTGCGCTTTGCTGACAATTCCTTGTTACATAGCAAAGTGATAAACTTTAAGGGTTTTTTTTTTTGTTGGTGTGTCCTTTCATATGCCTCTTCCAACACACAAGAGACAGAAGGAGCTGCTCTCCTAACACTCAGTACAAAATGAGCTAATTACTTTCTGTTGTGTTCTGTGGATCAGCTGGGGTTTGAGGCTTTGTTTACTGCAAACAAACAGGAAGCCCTTACTAATGCCCAAGGGTACAGAATCAAACTGCCCCTCATCACAAAGCTAGTGTGCAATGGAAGGGTAGCATTAGGAAGACAGAGATACTAAAATTCTACCTCAAAGAGGAAAGTTTTTTTTTTTTTCAAATGCACACTAAGTGAAAAGACTAGCCTCTCATACTGACAGAGCAGATCTTTGTGTTTGGAATAATTGATCGTAAGGCAGTATTTCTATCAATTAGGACTCAGATCTTCTACCTCATTATCTGGCACCACTTGGATTTTTCCTTTCCTACTACTTCATCTGCATTTTGCAATGTGAAAAGCCCAGCTTCTGTTTACCAGGGTAGATACAGACACAACTGCATTGCAGGTCACAGGAACATGTACTGCAGCAGACAGCAGTAGAGGGGGACTAACGCTTCTCCTCTTCAACTCCTCACAGTAAGGGTGCAAAGTGAAACAGTATTTCACAGAGCATCGTTGTGTATCCATTCCCTGGGTAAGGATGACATCCCCTCCATAGCAAACACTGGCACTTCCAACAGCATTATGTATGTATCTGGTTTGGTTGGTTGTTTAAACTGCTCAGGCTCATTCCTCAAAAGATGCTAACACAGTATGCTCTGAAGTGATACAGGTTTCACAGGATGCTATTCTCCCCTGCCACATACAGCTACAGAATACCCACAGCTGTCATAAAACTACTAGTGTAAAGCAGCCACAAAAAATACAACTCAGCTCCCTAGTCTTCCTTTAAAGAAGTAAGAAAAAGATACCAAGCAAATGTTAGAAGATCACTCTTTACTGCCTCTAAAACAGAAATGCTCTTTCAAACAACTGGATTGCAATTAAGGGTTTTAGAAAATGTCTCTAGAACGGTAGCTAAAATAACTCCCAGAAAATCCAGCTATAGTTCTGGATAGAAAATTACTGGCAGAACCCTATGTTCTTTTTCAAACCATCTTGAACGGGGAGATTTCAAGTAGCGATGCCATTATAAGCTGAAAACATTTTACGTGGTTTTGTTTAGACTCCAGGATGAATAAGATGATGCCTTTTACAAACTAGGAACAGAGAAGGACACTCTCCCCAGAACTTTGTTGCTCTGCTCTTTGTGGATACAGGGAAGGTCTCTGAAGAATGACCGAAGCTAAAGGAGAAGGGCATGAGCAGTGTATCCTGTTCCCAGGAAGCATTACCAAGGGAAGGTCATTATTCCCAGAGTAAACAGTACTTTGCAGGTAGACACATTCAGAGCAGGAGCGGAAAAGAGCAACTGCAGCCGTTCTTTGTGACAACTGGAACAGTTGCTTCATGTTATCCCTCTACCAGGATCCATCTCTGTGTGAATACAAATAATCCCAGGGAGTTCCCAACTTGCAAGTGCAATCTTCTGCCCAAGAAAAGAGAGCAAGAGACTTTTAGTTACCTGAATCCTGTGAGCAGCTAAAACCTGTGTCTCCTGTGCTGCTGCTGTTTCCTAATGGCCGTCCACCTGCCATGAGGGCAGTGAGATGGGGAGATAGTCCCAAATCTGCAAAACAGTTTAATCCTCATCACACACTGGATGCTTAGGGTGTCTACAATAGTAAAAAGCTCTTCCAGCAATACCCAGTCTGTCGCCTTATTTACCCTTCTCTCCATAAAACTTACCCCACTGATCCCAGGGTACAGCAAGCATTTGGACTTTCCATCTTAGAAACCCAGTCAGAAGCTTTCATGTACCCTTGGAGTACTGTTATATGGCAAGTCTCCTTTCTATCTATGCCATCTCCTTCCCACTCTTTTTGCAATTGCATGTATTTATCAGCAAGCCAGGCTGAACATAGAGCAGACATGCGCTATGGTGACAGACACCTCCTAGCCAGAGAACAAACTGATAGCCATGCGCAGCTGTGACAGACCATTAGCGTAGCAGCAAGGTCACTAGTGAGACTGGGGCACTGAGATGCCTGCCTTCTTTCACATCCCCAAAACAGGAAGGGAGGAGATTCTAGGATTGTGGCAAACGCGCTGTCTTTGGATCCTGCTTAAGGACTTTGTGTTTTTTTTCCTCTCAGCCTCCACTTGCTACACCTGATAAATTTGAAGCTGTCAGTTTCTTGTCACTTGGAAAGAGAAAGAAACTTTGTCTTTTCCCTCCCAACTCAACTCAGTTTCCAATGAATTCATCCACAACATCTCCCAGATACAGATTTGCTAAAGGGAGGAGTGTTAGCAGCTGGTGATGTGGCTGCAGCTGCAGAACTCTTTCATTTACGTGGAGTCTCTCCCAGTGATTCCAGGTTGCAGAAAAGATAACGGATGCCTTGCTGCTCTTCCCTCCCTTTTACATTTTAGATCTTCTTTCCCAATTAAATACCTTCAGTTCCTGCCTCTGCAGGCAATGTCCCAAGGAACATCGTGATGTCCTAGATTTGGGGAGCTTCGGAGCATTCTGAATAAGATCAGGAAAACGATCAGAAATCACAACTTCATTGGGCTACAACTTAAAAACCCTCTGAGCAGCTGAATAGTCATTGGAGCTCTTGGCCTGCAACGCAGGAAGGCATCTAATGGGATGGTTTTTCTCCAGTTACAGTATTTCCTTCACAACCATTAAGACTAAAAACTGAATTTATAGAAATATTAAGACCAATGTAACCTCAGTAAAGTTCAGAGAGTCATAGCATAAAGCCAGGAATCAGAGCACGAGTGCCACAGGATATATTATTCATAGTGCTCAAATTTGGATACCACAAAATACTAATAAGCACAGATGAAGAGCTGGAGAGAGAAAAGAAGTAATTTTTATTAATCTCATCACTATGTCTTCTCTGGGAAAATTTATTACTAGAGTAAGAGAGATTAACTCCCACAAAAATCAGCCTCCTTCCAAGCGTCTATAATAATTTGAACAAAAGACCCCTGAAACCTCCAGGAACATTGTTTACAGAGCCTCGAGACACGCCACGTACACATAGACACCAAGTACTGTTCTTGCTAATACTAAGGAAGAGTGTCTTTCATAACTACGTCTTACCTGTGATCCTATTGGAAATGCTAAATAGCCTTGATGTCCTATGCCGCTGAACAAAGGACTCGCGGTAATACCGATCCCCAAAGCACATTCCTAGTAGTTCCTTGCGTACCGTTTTGTTCCAGAGTCCATAAATCAGTGGATGGCAAATGGCACTGGAAAAGGACAACCACGTAGCCAACGTCTCCCAGGCAGGGGAAATACTATTTTTTCCCCAAAGCGCCTCTGACGTAATTACTACCATGTAAGGCCCCCATGTAATCACAAAAGCACCGATGACAACCAAGATGGTTATGAAAGCTTTGCACTGGTTGGCAGAGTAGACAACTCCTTGGAAAGCATTCCTTCGGCTGCCTGAAGAGGACGTGGAGGTGCTGGAGTTCTTCCTCCCATTCCTCTGCGAGTCTTCCTCCACAATAACTACACTACCACAGTGGATTTTGCGGGCTTTAATCCTAGCCACACGGAATATGAATCCATAGCAGATCATCATGACCGAGAAAGGCAGCAACGCACACCAGATCTGCCAAAAGGCAGTGTAGCCAGCCTCTTTATGCCAGGCTGCCACGCACATCCATTTGAACTGGTCAAACTCCAAAGACGACCAGCCAAAGAGGGGAGGGAGACAGCCAATAAGGGAATGTAGCCACACGTATACAAGAGCTACCACTGCTCTGTTGCCTGTAATCTTCATTGGGTAAACCATTGGGTATAGGACAGCATAGTACCTGGTGGACAAAAAGCAAGAGTCAATAGGAGCACACAAAAAGTACAGTAAAAAAGGAACATATTTTAATGGTATTGATATCTAGTCACCTTTGCAGAACAAGCTCTTCTCTCCAAACCTCAAAGTGGGCTCAGGGGCCCTGTTATAAACAGTTTTATTTAAGAATCCGCATCTTTGCGGGCAAGACTGTGAAAGTCACCTGAAGGCACAAACGCAGCTATTAACTCTGTCTCTCTGCGTGAGTGCACGCTTAGCCTATATTTGGAATTGTGTTTACTTACTGTTTCTCAAGTAATATGTTATTATACCATAAACAGCTCTAAACAAACTCTAGATGCATGAAAGCATTTTGCATTATCGAGGACAGCACTTTCTTCCATTCTGTGTCAAAATCTCATGGGGGAGGGGTGAATTAAATTAATGGAAAGTCATTAAAATGTTATGTATGGTCATCCACTGCAGTGCTTCTCAACCCTGTGAACAGCCAATAAGTCATTCTATGAAACGACTAGACAATTTGTTTTCACTCACTGTAAAAGCGCTGCTTACCGGTCTATAGCTATGAGTCCAAGAGTGAGCATGCTGGCTGAGCTGATCAGCATGTAGAGCAGTGCTGAAAAGTTGCACCAAACAACTCCAAAGATCCATTCCCGCCTGATGGAGCTGGTGACAACAAAAGGTAGTACCAGTACAGAGAGAAGAAAGTTGGAGAGGGTCAGGCTGAACACAAACTTGTTGCTCAAAGTGAGAAGGTAAGACTTCCGGTAGAGGGTGACGACAATCACCAGGTTGCCCAAACAGATGAAAATGGCAATGACAATTATAGCAATAGACTCGGTGACTCTGACAGCCCCGTTTTCCAGCGTGGTAAGGTTCCTCAGGCCCTTCACATTGATGAGGGAGGAGTTGCTGCTCATTGTCAGAGCGCGCAGAGCTGGAGCAGCCAAGACATGCTGAGGAGCTAGAAGCAGAACAACAACACTCAGAGACATTCAGGCAAGATTTCCTCACCTCCTCTCCAAAGATCAAGGGCTCTTTTACTCGCATTAATTAAACTTTACCTGTAGGAGACAGCAAATCGTTTTGGATGGGAAAACAAAGGGGCAGGAAATTGCCCATAGGCACGCCAAAGAGGTCAATGATAGAGTTAAATCTAGAAGAGGGGAGAAACTGTCTGAAAGACAGAAAGAGTTGGATGGAGAGGGATGGAGGAAGGAAGAAATAAAGAAGAAAATTAAAACATTTAATATTTTTGTAGGGATCTTACTTGCTTCTAAGCACTGATCAGCCATACTTACCAGCTGTACATCTCACTCAGTCCCTTCATCTAGGCTGTGAAGAAACAGGAAGAATGTAACAATTAGTCTTTGTTTCTCTCAATTTTAAAAAAGTCTTTTTTTTTCCTGTCTGCTTATCCCGACATTGCATTCTGCCTAGGTAGCAACTGCTATTCAGTGGTCTGTGGATGCCTGGCTAGTCATACCCTGCTGACTCTTAACGGTTGCTAGGTAACATTCAAAGAATCTGGGAGCACTGCAACATATTCTCCTAATGTCACTTCTCCATGTACATAATCACCTTAGCTACCACAGTGATCACTGCTCAACACCCATCCCCCTGCCTCATAACCTCAGTTTTGTGAGAGCTCAGTATTCCCCCCGGTTCTGCAGCAGCCTTCTGCCTGCTGTCTACCACAAGCATTCCTAATAGCTTAATTCAATCTTTCACCCATCTGCAGACCAGCACACTGAAAAAACACCAAAAATGCATGTGTGCAAACCGAACAACCAAAAAAAGCGTGCAACAAATAAAACGAAGTTCATCTTAACATTTCTTGGAAATCAGCGGCCCACTGAGGGTATCTCGGCTTTGCCCATCCATTGTTCCCAAATCACCAGGAGTACTGAAGAACCTCTTCCATCCGTGAGGTTGTTATGGCCTTAAGCAACACTGTCAGGCTGCAGAGATGTATTTTTTTCAATTTTTATCTGTGCCTTCCTAAGAGCCTAATTGAAGACACTACTGAGCCACGCTTCGTAAAATCTAGCTTAACTCTTCTCTAGTGAAACTGCCGACTGTGCGTAATAGCGTTTCTCTTAAAGTTTATCTTTAAAATATGGCTGCAGCTCACTTGTGAGTCTTTCCAACACCTTTTAAAGAGGCGCGGATTCTAGAAAGGAGGCTATCCGAGAGTGGCCACAGCCTCCAGCAACACCCAGGTCACGCGCTCCTACCCTTCCCCTCAGAGTTGCATCTAATCCTGCTTTACCCAAAGGCGGGGTGGGGGGATGCCCAGCAAACGTGCCCATCAGCCAGGAGGAAACAGTTAAGCAGAACGGCCAAAGGGCCTGGCTCTGTGAGCCCCAGCTCAGACAGGGGCAATTGCTTGGTGGGACAAGCAGGGGCTGGGGCGGGGGGGTGTCTCTTTGCCCAGGGCCAGCACTGCTA